GATCGCAGTCCTCGGGGGAGGACTTGTCCTGGAGGAGGTAGGAATGGGGGGTGGGATGGGGGTAAGGGAAGGGAGTGGGAGGGGGGAGAATAGGGGAACCAGTGGCTGATATGTAGAACTGAATGGTATTATAAAATAATATATATATATATATATATGAATGAAAAGGAATGAGTTATAGATTAGTCTGCCTCCATTTAGAACTTTAAAATGTATAAATCCTTAGTTTTGAATTAGAAAAATTATTCAATTATAATTAAAATAGTTAACTTTATATTTATTCTCCAGTTATTTATCTTGATATCAACTGTTACTCATGCTATCTGCATTAACTATGCAAATAAACACATTACAATATTGCATACAAGTGCAACAAAAAATAATTCAAACTGAGTCAACTTGTTGACATCGATTGTGTATACACTGGTCATTGCATATCACCTTAGCAATTCTCACTTGAGTGCCTAGAGAGATGGCTTAGTGGTTAAGAGCACATAATGGGACTGCTCTTGCAGATGGCCCAGGTTAAGTTCCCAACACTGGCATCAGGTGGCTCATAACCACCAGTAACTCCAGTTTCTAATGATCTGATGTCCTTTGACCTCAACAGGTACCCGTATACATGTGCTGCACATAAACTCATGCAGGCACACATACATGTAGCTAGAGTTTTCCTGCCTTGCCCACAGTCAGGACAAATCTTTGTCACCCGCCAGTCCCACAGCCACTCAGACCCAACCAAGTAAACACAGAGACTTATATTGCTTACAAACTGTATGGCCGTGGCAGGCTTCTTCCTAACTTTTTTTTTTTTTTTTTTTTTTTTGGATTTTTCGAGACAGGGTTTCTCTGTGTAGCTTTGCGCCTTTCCTGGGACTCACTTGGTAGCCCAGGCTGGCCTCGAACTCACAGAGATCCACCTGCCTCTGCCTCCCGAGTGCTGGGATTATAGGCGTGCGCCACCACCGCCCGGCGCTAACTGTTTTTATAGCTTAAATTAATCCATTTCTATAAATCTATACCTTGCCATGCAGCTCGTGGCTTACCGGCATTTTCACATGCTGCTTGTCCTGGCGGTGGCTGGCAGGAAAACTCTAGCTACACATACGTACATATAAAATTTTAAAATCTTTAAAAAAAAAAAAAAACTCATCTGATAACAGATAAAGTTACGTAGTCAGACCAAAACAGAACTGTAATGAAAAAAATAATAATTCAGCCTTAAATTTTAGTTAAATAATATTAAAATGAAATACTTATTTTAGAGGCATCACCTTTTAAGACTCTTATAGCTTCATGTGGTTAGTTGATACCAAATTATGCAGCATGTGCGTAGAGATTCCTCTCCCCCGCTTTTCTCTCTATTATTCCTACTCAGTTTGAGCTGGGTCTCACCTCATAGCCCAGGCTGGTCTTGCACTGCCAGTCATTCTGTCACAGCCTTCTGTTTATGAAATCACAGGCACATGCCACTGTCCTCAGCCATTTTCCCCAGTGCTAGAGCTAGAAGCCACGGCCTTGACCACACAGGGCAGAGAGTCTGCTGGTGAGCCGCTTGTCAGGCCTCTTCATCCTGGTGCAGTTCCTCATAGTTTCCTCCAAGTTCATTCACATGTCTTAAACAGAGCCCCTGACTCAGTTCTGAGACGTCAGGGGGTCTAGATTGTCCCGGCCCTTTGACTCTCTCTTCCTGTGGAAGTCCTGCATTTACCCAAGGTCGGAGGATGGGAAGTGTTGCTTCTTCTCTAATATTGGCTCCATCTATCCCCACAAATACTTGGTGGTGGTTACCTTGGATTTTCCCTTTTCCATGGGGCCATCAGACGTAACTCTGTTGCTGTCTCTCTTCTCTTATACAATCTCGAATGCCAAGAACACCCTGATTTTCATGCTTTGCCCTTAACTTATTTAGCTTGGCATTTGTAGGCTTATCTTCCTACATGCCGTCAATATTGTCCACGTTTTTTGGTTCACTGTCTAGGTGGTCTGTCTCTTTGCTGTGTGAACTATTGGGGAAAATTATAAAGGCCACTCCACGTAGTTAAAAGGAAGATTTATTTAGTGGATGACTTACAAATGAAGGAATGGATAGGTCGCGGGGGTCTGGGGAAGGCGTATCGCAATCCAGCAGTGTTCTCTGGAGCTCTGCACAATCAATCTCCACCATACAGGGTCCAGGCGCAGAGAGAGCGCCCAGAGCGAGTGCTTGCCCATCCAGCTCCCAGGTTTCCAGCACCTCCCCTCGCCCCGCCTCGTAGGCGTGACAGTTGCCAGAGTCTCAATGGGGGTTGGAGCTTCCAGATCCAAGCTGGAATGGCTACCCACTACAGTGAACATTCAAAGAAATCGAAAACACTGTTGCTATTGCTTCTGTCCTCTTCTGAAACATTTTGGCAATTCAATAATATTTTAAAAATTAGTATATGGAATTCTGTTTCGTGTTAAAGTGGAAAGTAGAAGGAAATATGGTCGATACTTAAGACAAACGAGAAAGTCAAAGATCTAAGAATGCCAACCCCTTTATTTAAGTAAATATTTTCCCCTCCAGCTGGAAAAGAGTTCTGCAGAGATGGAGGAGTTTGTCCTGATGAAGCAGCAACTCCAAGAAAAGGAAGAACTTATTAAGACTTTGCAAACTCAGCTCAGCCAGACCCAGGCAGAGCAGGCTGCACAGGTAGGTGATGGCACCTTTATTAGAATAAAGGACCATGGGGTCCAGAGTGGTGTCTGCGGCAAGTCAGTCCCAACACTCACTCAAAAGCTTGGTAGAGGACAGCATGGTAGCCAGGATATTAAAGCCAAGCCTAGGAGGGTGGGGTAGAAGAAGTTAGAAGTGTGGTAAGTATGGTAAGGGGTACATATTAATAGGAAACGCCAGAACCCCTCAGAAAGTGCTGTTTATGTTGGGGAACTTGCCATAGTTTTACTGATGACTGTTTTTATTCATAGGTCCAGATACTCCATTTTAATAGCACACAGAGATTCTGTCTCTTAGGAATGGGGAATGGGCTCATGCTGAACTCAAAGGATAGGTAGACCAAAAGAAATACAAATTACTAGCTCCCTTATTTTCTAATTATAATCTTGTTAGGAAGATACATCTTCACTTTAAAGTTACTTAATGAACATATAATAAAGAAGTGGGGAAGGGTATAAAATTCCTTGCTAATGGATCTAGTATTCAAATGCTTCTTCATACTCATTTCTGAAGCCAGAACCAGCCTGTCTGTGCTAGCTGGCACCCTCAACTCTCTGATTTTCATAGTTTCCTGTTTGACAACCTACCACATAGTTCTTTGAGGATGCTTTTGCCTCATGCCACATTTTTATCCCTGGAGGGCCTTTGCACACAGCACAATCGTATCCATCAAATATATTGATAACAGAGGTGTCTTTTATGTAGGAATGACCGATGGTTGGGCACACAGAATTATATACCCAGAAATTGATAACTTTATCCTATTAGCTTCTGTTGGGTCTTTAATACATTATATACAATGTAGGATAGGAAAATGTTACACATTCTTTAATCTTATAAATTGCTTAAAACAAAGGCAACCAAGGCATATGAATATGTTAACAGACCCATCGTGGAGCAAGCCACTCCAAATAAAATACCAAAGGCCAAGTGTGGTGACACAAACCATGATCATAGCATTCAGAAGGCTGAGGTCGACAGGTCATGGGTTTGACACCAGTGTTGGCTACATGGCAAGTTCCAGGCTACACAGTGAGACCCTACCTCAAAAAATAAAAATGATGAAAGTAACATTAGCATTGAAGTATGTTGGGAGAGAAAAGGTATTTTGTGAACATGGAAGTTATAGAAGCTTCCACAAAAAAAGGAGAGCTAGACAAGCAGCATTCTCCTGAGGGAAGCGTTGGGAAAGGCAGAGAAGAAGAATTCATTAAAAGGAAAGTCTGCAGGAGGGACAGACAGCTGAAGAGGACTTTCTGGGGAGGTGGCTTGCCCTTGGACGCGCACACAGTTCTTTAGTCAAAGCGAATTTTTGAAAACCATACAAGTAGAATAGGCTTGTATTCAGTGTGCTGGGCTCTGCTGACTCCCCATGGGAGACCTCGATTTGGGGGATGTGGGGATGCGGGGTGGTTTGGGAAAGAGGGCTGGGGGTGGGAGGAGGGAAGAGGGGGGATCTGTGGATAGTATGTGGAGTGAGTAGAAAATTTCTTAATAAAGAAAAATGAAAGAAAAAAAGAATAGGCTTGTATTTCCATTTGTAGAGCAGTTTGAATAATGTTCATGAGCTTGAATTGCTCGTTTATGGCCATGAGGTTCCTGGACTGTTTTTGAGCCTGAGTCTGATACTGAAGGAGTTAACAGAAATTTAACTTCACTTGTATGTTTAATTTCCTAATCTTTTCAAATTAAAAAAAAAAAAACTACTCTCCTTGGATATGTAAAGCATTTTTAGTATCCATGAAGATTTTTAATTAAAATATGTATGAGTTGATTCTGCATTTGATAGTAGGCTTCTTCTCATGTCTGGAAGTTGCTGCTGGGCCTCTTGCTCTTCCGACATTCCCCCTTGACGTTCAGAGCTGAGGGTTAGAGAACTGCTTCCTGTCAGTGCCGTGTGCCCATCTTTGGAGGGTAGGCTGGAAGAGCGGAAATCCTGTGAAATCCTCCGGAGTGTAACTTGTGTAGTTTCTCTGGTATATGTCTTCAGTTGAGTTCCATGCAGCAGGTGGTCCGAGAGAAAGACGCCCGCTTTGAAACACAGGTTCGTCTGCACGAAGATGAGCTGCTTCAGTTAGTAACCCAGGCAGATGTGGAGACAGAGATGCAGCAGGTGTGTTGTCACACTCCGCAGAGTGACTGTCATTTTGGTTCACGCTTAACCAAGACTTCACAGCCACTTCCCAGCCACTGCCCTTCCCCGCTCTGCTCCACATGGCCTCCGTGTGTTCCTTGGCTTCTTATTGGTGTCCTGTCTTTCCTTGCATATCATTTTTTGTCTCGTCCTTCTTTTCCCCTTTCCTTATCTCATCAGGTTGGAACTTGGAACTTTAAAGCTGAATTTGCTCGGGGACAAGGGCTGGTTTCTTTTTCATTTGCGGATTTACAGCTACTGTTCATGCTCTAAACCTGATCCAAAACTTCAAATAGATGAAGTCAGTTTTGTATTTAAAAAAAAAAATGAGGCTAAAAAAATGCTTTTGAAGGCACAGTCTTTTATTAAATCAGTACTTTTTAAAAAGTGCATTATGTAGATACTGAAAATTGACTTCATTGTATTTGAGTTTACCATGTACTAACTCACATTGTCTGTACTTAGAATGTAGACCCCTGTAATGAAAGGCACTTTAGCGGCACTTTGTTTGATCTGTGTTTATATATGTGTGTTCATGTATGTGCAAGTGCATGTTTATGCACACAGGTATGCATGCACACATGCACATGTGTGTGGAGGCCAGAGGACAACTTTGGATGTCATTCCTTAAGGAGCCGTTCAGCTTGATATTTTTCCCCTCCGAGGTGGGGCCTGTCATTGGCCTAGTTCACCACTTAGGCTAGCTGGCTGGCCAAGAAGCCTCAGGAATCCTGTTTCTACCTCCTCAGTTTGGGATTCACCTGGCCTGGCTTTTTTCATATGGATTCTGGGGATTGAACACAAGTCCTCACAAGTACTTTGCCAATTGTTCCATCTGTTCCAGCCTCTCATCTCTTTAATCTTGAGTGAAAACTTGTTCCAAGGTCTAAGCAGTCTTTAGAATGTACTCCTAAGTGGAGTTTCAGAGTACACTACTTTGAAAAGTAGAATATTAATTGTATATATTGATTTATTTATTTAATGGGTATTTTTCAAGTGCCTGCCTTGTGATTGAAAACAGAAGAGAAATGGTTTTGCCTATAAAGATTGCTCTCTTTTGTAGGTAAGAAATGCATGTTACCTATGCTACTTAGGGACAGGACAGGAACTGTATGACTCTGAAAGGGAGTGTGTGTCGTTCTATCCTAAGTACAGTAAGCTCCCTGACGAGGCCTTGCTTGCATTTGGGATTGGTTGTTGTCACGCTCTGCAGAAGGCGTTTTGCAGACTCTTGCTGCTGGATGGGTCATGGCATGCTGGTGTCCTACTTAGCCCTTTTCTCCCACACTCCAGAATGTAGCCTTACAGGTGCACATGGCGTTTTGGATGGTAGGCAAATAGTTGTGCTTATTTATCTGCAATTGTGTCTCCATGTTTCTTTCCAGAAACTGAAGGTAATGCAGAGGAAACTTGAGGAAAATGAGGAAGCCTTGTTGGGCCGAGCTCAGGTTGTGGATTTGCTGCAACAGGAGCTGACTTCAGCCGAACAGAGAAACCAGGTACTGGCTGTGGTCCCACTACCTGCCAGGGGAGGGCTGGTTTCTACGGTAGGTTGTTGGGCAGCAGGCAGAACAATGTCTGAGCCATCGGAGGGTTGGTGCCCTCTATTCATTCTCTTCAGCAAACACTCAGTGCTCCCCTGATGTACCCAGTGGGAAAGCAAACACAGCTACTTCCCCAGGGCTTCCGGTTTCCATCTTTTGTCACACTTTTCCTTCATTGTTGGAGGTAAGAGTCTCTCTTGCAGAGTTTCCTCTTTTCCTCTAGTGAGTTTCTTTTTCATCACTTTCCCCTTGTCTGTCTTGAATGGTTCTTGTGTTTTATGCATGGTCTCTGCTTTGCCTATTTTCGTTGGTCAACTTTCTGCTGGATGGAAGTGGTCCTATCATGCAGCAGTCCTTCATTTGTCTTGCTAGACTGTATGGGCCCATGCTTCTGATTTGGGCTACTCTGATCTGCCTTTGGCTTCCCTGTGCCCTTGTCCTGTCATCTTATCCAGGTAGCCAAATTCTAGTACGGAATTAGTTCTATGGCAACACAACCTTTGCTCGTTCACCTGGGTACTGTCCGCTGCCAGGAAAAGTCAGCCACACCCTCCTCCTTAATGCTCAGCATGCTTTCTTGAGGCCACTTTCTCTGTAGTCTCCCTCCCCTTCATCCTCATAAAACCTGTACTCTGACTCTAGGTGTCCCCTCTGGGTGTCCTGAGACAGTGAAGGTCTAGTTTCCTTTGTGGTACTTACCAGGCCATTGCTGCACAGATGGTTGTATCTGGTGCCCTTTGTCAGCTGTGTATGAGTTAATGCACTGTGGATCTTCACAGCTCCTTCCTGCAGTGGATAGCATTTTTTCCCTCACCACAGACAAAGAAACTCGGGCATAGAGAATTCCCATACACCCCTGGTTGATTTGATAGACTTCAGGTTTTCTGTCAGTAAACTAAGGGTAGTAATATTTATGTAAAGGACTTGTAGCATGAATCTTAATTGGTCTTAATAGTAAAAACTCAGAGTCAGATATAGAGGTAAATGTTGAAAGATCAGAGAGATAAAAGGAAAGAGCAAGCCACAGCCACCTCACCAACTCCTCAGCCTGAAACAGACTGAGCTCCTGTCTCCTCCCCCTTATATTCCTCTCTCCGCCCAGCCACATCACTTCCTGTCTCTACCTCCCTAGTGCTGGGATCAAAGGTTTGTGCCACCACTGCCTGGCCCTGTTTCTTTTTCAGACTGGATCAATCTTGAGTAGCCCAGAGTGGCCTTAAACTCCCAAAGATCTGCCTGCCTCTGCCTCCCAGTTACTGGGATTAAAGGTGTGTGCCACCACTGCCTGGACTCTATGGCCGACTAGTGGCTTAGCTCCACACTTCGATCTTCAGGCAAGCTTTATTTGTTAGATCACAAACAAAATATCAAAGCCCATTGCTTTCCCATTAGCACAGTGCACATCTTGGTTCTCTTCTGATGCCTCTGGAGCTTTTCTTTTGTTTACTTTTCCATCAGAGGCTTCTCTTCCTGCCATTAGACCGTGGACTGGCCTCAGCCAAGTGTTCTCACTATACCCGTTCTTCTCTCTTTCTCTCTCTCTGGTAGTAGATGTGACTGTCCCCACCAAATATTTATCTCCCCAGCGCTGTTGACATGTGTCCCTTTCCCTCGTGATACATGGCTGACCTACAGGCTTGGCAAGCCCAGCAAGTGAAAAAACAAAACTCACCTTCCTTCTTAAAGCATATAATTTGTAGCTCAGAAGACCAGACATGGGACTACCGTTGTCTGGTGTTCCCATGGCGGGCTGCACAGCCAGAGTACACAGAGTGCCTGCACGCTCCTGTGCTGTGGCACTGTTCACAGCAGTCGACAGAGAAAGAGGCCACGGAGGCGCCTGGCCGTGGATATATAATGTAAATATACCACTAATTTAAGCACACAATAGAATATTACGCAGTCCTAAAAAAGGAATGCGGTTCTGTGCTTTTGCAGCAATGTGGAAAGAGTACAGGCTGCTGTTCTAAGTGAAATAATTTGTCAGGCACAGACAGACAAATACCACGTGTCCTCACTTACACATGGAAGCCAAAAAGTTCATCTCAAAGAAGTAGAAAATAGAACAGCAGCTTCCAGAGCTTGGGAAGGATGTAGGGGAGGGAGGGTGGAGAGGATGCTAAGTGGGTACAGGGATACCTGGGATCTGTGCTCATCTGTAGAACAGCGGGACAGCTGCACTGGCCACAATTGTTTTATATCCTAGTAGAGAGGATTTTAACTGTTCCCAACACCAAGAAAAGACATATACTGACATGACCTATGCCAGCGACCTTGATGTGATTGTTCTGCATTCTGGGTCGTGCATTGAAATGTTACATTCACCCCACAAATAGGTGTAATTGTTATGTGCCCAATTCAAAACACATTTAAAAAATACTTTAACCACATTTTCTCTCTTAATGGACTATTTACTCAAAAGATTAAAACTCAGGCTTTATTGTTTCCTTTGTATTCTCTAACCCTACAATTAATTGTCAGCCCTGCTAATTTTATCTCTTAATTCTAGACTCTGCCTTCCTCATCAGTAACATCAGGACCCAGCTCTGGCTTGGGAACATCGTCACAGAAAGAGCTCTTCCTGACAGGGTTTTGCCTCTGTTCTTCCTCCCATACCCCATGTATCCTCTTTGGCGTTGAGAGGGTTGTCTCTTCAGAAACTTGTATGACCACACTCCTTATTGCTTAAAGAACAGCTCTCAGTTTCTTGATGATAAGGCACCCCCTGAGCTTTATGGTGGTTCTCCAGCCCTCTTTCCTTTTGTCACTGGAGATTTTCTCGCTCCTAACTCCCGCTACCTTGGTGGTCATGTTTTTCTTGGCTCTCTGCCTGACGTACCATTTTAAGTACTTCCTTTGCCTAGCTGATGGCTCCCTTTTACATTTTAGATCATTTGGCTCTCTTAAAGGAAGGCTGCCCTCACCCATCCCTCTCCTCTCCCCATGGGCACTTTGCAGATGTTCCTCTGTGTGCTTGCATGATGCTCAACCTGTCTCCATGCCTGAACCCCGACTTCCTCCAGGGCGTGGACTAGATGGGTTTGTTCATTGTGGATTGAGGCCACTTTGCTGTAGACTATGCTGGTGCAGAAGACTAGTAAGAATGAGACAAAGTGCCTCCTTCCCTCATGAAACGTGTTTTCTAGTGGGAGAGGCAAAAACGAAAGAAATAACTGATACAAGGTAAATATGAGTATAAATGGTCCAAAATGTCTAGAAACCAGCATGGAGGGTGGAGCCGTAGGTTTAGTGCTACTTGCTTGGGTCCTAGGAGTACATCAGTGTGCTCCCTGAATGGAAGGATATAGTTGTGGATCATGGTGGTTTATGTTTTTGTTTTTGTTTCTTAGAATCTTTCCCAGCAGTTACAGCAGCTGGAAGCTGAAAATAGTACTTTAAAGAACACCATGGAAACAGAGAGACAGGAGTCCAAGATTCTGATGGAAAAGGTCGAACTTGAAGTAGCAGAGAGAAAATTATCCTTCCATAACCTGCAGGAAGAGATGCATCACCTTCAGGGACAGTTGGAGCAAGCTGGCCAAGCCCAGGCTGACCTGGAGACTCAGTATAGTGCTCTCGAACAAAAGCATAAAGCAGAAATGGAAGAGAAGAATGCTTATATCTCAAGTATTCAGAAGACTGAGCAAGAGCTGCAGTCGGCCTGTGCTGCCCTGAAGGAGGAAAACTCGATTCTGCTCCGAGAGAAGGATGAACAGGCCACCGAATCA